GAAGAAATTCGTAAGGGAAGGGGTTAATTCTGTCACATTGATCAAAAATTACACTGTTCGATTAAGAAATTAAGAATCGTGCAAATTAAAAATATCGATATAGCTTTGAAACTGTAACAAACTTCTTTGATCTCTTAGCTCTGAATGACGTGAGAAGAAATGGCAATATTTTTACTGATCGCGCGAGAAAATTGCAATTTGTTACTCAAACTAAACTTTCCATGCAAATCTTAGACATTTTAGAATATTTCGACTAATTCCTTCTACATATTTTTAAACATTCCCTTGCTATGATCGCTATGATTGCGTGCGCAATCTTGTACGACTTGAGATTGTTGTTGTATTGTATGAAAGTCAACCTAGGCATATGTAATTTCTGTGTATATATACTTCAAAAAATCATCATTTAGACATTATTTGCTTGATTTGTTTCATTTTTGTTATATAAAAAGATTAATGGAAAATTAACACGTACAACATTAGTCGATCTGCAATTTACAACGAAGCCTACCACGTTTCATCGGAAAACATTTTCCAATTTACGTACCAAGCACATGAAATCAAAAATTAAACCTACAGGAAAATGTTCGAAAAATAATACACGAATAGTATCTAGAGTGCCATTAACTATCGTATTCCTTGCTTTAATAAATATCGTTCTGAAAGAATAAATTAAATCTCGAATTTCTTTTTAGTTCTACCAAATACTTGAGTCTTTCGTTTAACAAGAAAATTATGAAAGTTTAAGTTTTGTAAATGATATTAATTCAGTCGGCATTAAAACTACCAAAGTGGTTAGTATATAAGCAGAAACTTGTATACTCCATCATACTGCAAAATTTTTCAATTTCTTTTCATTTTAACGAATCTGAAATTTTATGCTTTGGTCGTCGATAATTCTAGCGTTGAACGATGAAATTATAGATTTTTCAAAAAAAAGAACTAGCGTTCGACGAGTGTAATCGTAATCGCGTCGTTCTAGCGACACATTGTAGACACACGCTTTCAAAAGCGGCATCGCAGCTAATTGTAAGAGGTTGAAACTTGCACGGAGCAAGCAACGATGATCGAACGTTCGTCTATTCGTCGCTGACCAAAAGAAAAAAAAAAAAAAAAAGGAAAAGCAACATCAGCGACAAAAGTCGGCGAACACGAGCTACCTAGACCCCGCCTCGGCGAAATGGCCACGAGCACACGAGGTACACGTTATCGTTCGGCCGCGACATAACTCTCGAAATATCGATGCTCGTCGATGGAAAACAGGCAACGACCAACAACGACCATACGCGCACGGTCTCGATTCGCGAAACGAGCGTACACGCTCGCTAGTGTATAAATCAGGAAGAGAAACGCCGATCGCGTATTTTATAAGAGCATTGCGCGCCGCACGCTGCTAACAAGACCGCGTTAATGTAAACTGCGGAAAAAAGAAAGAAAGAAAGAAAGAAAAAAAGGAAACGCTTACAAGACGACATTGGGGATGGCCAATGAACCGAATGAGAAGCGAAGGCCCGCGGGGAATATTGCATATTCCCGGTAACGACATGCAAACCCCGCGATTGACAAAGAGAGACTCCTCCAAGAGTCGAGTGTGTTGTACGCCTCCAGGATTTTCCGTGCTCGAAATAACTCTCTCTCTCTCTCTCTCTCTTTCTCTCTCGGAGATAACGGAGAGTTTGCACGTGACATAATCAATCTGTCGTGCTCGCGTCTCTCGATTAATCAGCCGATTTTCGTTCGACGCAACGACGCTCCCTCCCGATACTGTGGGAACGAGAGTGATTAAGATTCAAAGGGATAAGGGCCTCGATTTTTATAGTAACTGGAGCGAAGATCGAGTTGAGATTAATTAGAAAAAAAGAAAAGAGAAAAAGAAAACGTGTTGGAAATCATCGACGATTAATACAGGAACGGTCGAGTGTTCTTTTTCTAGAAAAATAAATAAATTTAATTAATTTCTTTCGCTGCCGCAAGCTTAATATAAGACGCGCTTATTTCTTATACCAAAGAATAAATGCAAAATTTGAGCGACTGGTGATTAAAGTATCAGCTATAGTCATCGGTTACTATCTGAATTATTGTGTACTCACAATGAGCGTCAGTCGTTTAGGTGAATATAGTCGTCGGTAGTCTCCAGCAAACTATAGCGCCGGGGAATAGTCATTCTGTTGCCAAAGATTCTGTCGTGAATTTTTGAATAATTTTGGGCGACTGCCGATTACGAATATGCTGTTAATTTTTCTAGATTGATTCTGATTCTCGAGCAAAAAAAATTTTTTATCCATTACTAGCTGTCCCGTTTTAGAAACAGAAATTCTACGTTAGCTGTTTGCTCTTAAATTCTGTTTATGTATTTAACGAGATTTTCTTTCTATCCTCTTGGCTTCTCTCTCGATGCTTTCAATTCCACGTTTTTTCGCTTTTCGTTTTTCAGCAGGATAATTTTCTTCTATGTTTTTCTTTCTTCTAACAACGGTTATATTTGCCACAAATACAACAGACAACGTCAGGATTATTTACACACTCATTCTCGCAGTGAAAAATGCTCGTATATTTACTCAAATAAGTTCAACTAACATTAATAAAACAAGTTCTTGTTGCTTTTCTTTAGAGAAGGATAATTGATAACAAATTGAGTGTACGTTGTTTCGTCAAGTGGAACAGGTTTGAATCATTCGGAAGATTGAACTACAATTCAAGAATAGGTCAAATTCGATCCATTTCGATTATTTTAAAAATCATCAACCAAGGTGAATATATATAATGAAATCAGATTTTAAACTTTTGGCAACGTGAAAAAAAATTCTTCTTCTTCCCCAATATTAACGAAAAAGTTGACCACTTAATGCTGGTTGTTTGTTGAAATTGGAAGCCTTCGAGCGTAAATTAATTTAGGTTTAGGGACGAAGGGGAGTAACAGGGAAAATATTCACTGGCGGCCGATAAATGGCAAATGGATCGAAAAGGTCTGGACAGCATCGAGGCGGATGCGTCGAATAATTTTGCGAGAGAGTGTAGCCGGGGAGACAGGGTGGATAGAAATCGATCGCGGATGAATCTCGCGGTGGACGCGACGCGACGCGACGCGACGCGCGAGTATGCGAGTGTAAGATAGGAGAAAAGGAACCTAACCGGAGCTAAACCCATTTATCGTGCGGAGGCTGCGTGCTTTCAATGAGAAGCACGCTTGCCGGACGAGGACGGGGCAGGAAAGCCATAGGAAGGAGACAGAAAACGAGACCACGCCGCGGAGAAAGAGGCGAAGAGAAAGAGCCATAAGAAGAGCGACACGCCGGACAAGGACGAGACGACCTCTCGTGCAAAAGGCGAGCAAAACGAAGACGGAGAGAGTACAAAACTTGGGAACGGCGAAAAGACTGAACGGGGAAACAAGTTCGAGAGAGACGGTCTTATCGAGAATTCGAAAGTTGAACGAAGACGAGGAACAAGAGAGACAGAGAGAGAGAGAGATTGAAAAAGAGAGCGCAAGGATAGCGTGCACGGTGATACTAAGAGACAAGTGTGTAAAAGTACGCGACTTCGAGGGTAAGAGAGAGAGAGAGAGAGAGAGAGAGAGAAGAAGTGAAAGAGACAGTGGAAGGGAGAAAAAGAGAGTAGAGCGGAGACAGGGCGTGGTCCAGCCTTGCTCTTACTTATAATTATATTTATTCGCGCAACGTACGCGGCTATAGCGATTGATATACGATCGCGTCGAGGTCTTGGCTTACCGCGACGTGGCCGCGTCCGTCGAAGACGTGGCACCAGAAAAGGCAGAAACCCGAGGAACGGAATCGAACAAAGAGAGAAGACCTGGCGGTCTCGCCTCGATTCGTGAAAATTCACATCCCGCGAGCTGAACGAATCAGGGAGTCTCAAAAGAGCGCAGTAATAACAAGCAATAGGAACTTTGAATAATAAAAAAAAGTATTCTCAATTAAATACAGATATTTCAGTGATACCTTGCGTTGGCTTGAAATATTATATTATACAAAAGTCGCTTGAAACGCTAATCGAAAGTTTGAAATATAATGTACAAATATAAAATTCTTTCTTACTGAAAATTGTAATCCCACAAATTCACTACCGTGGACAAGGGGATTTTGCAACGCTCGATAAAAAGGAAACGCTAGCCGAAGCTATATACGAAGAATTGCAATGATTTCATCTGCATCGAGTGTTGGAGCGACTAACAATAAACGATGGCGCGGTTTACAGTTTAACGAAACATCGTCTCCGAGGACCTGTCGTCGCCACTCTCGAAACACGCGAGACTCTTTCAGAGGGTATTCGCAGATGCTCGTAAAAATCTCGCACCGAGATAACGAGCGTCTTGACCTTTCCAGGGATTTTTTTTTTTTTTTATTTATCACCGCGAGACTCGACGCGGGGATCGAAGGATATCGCCTCCGGCACTCTCTCCCTCTTCCTCCTCGTTCCCTTTCGCGTGCTCTCGTTGCCTTCTCCCCGCGTCCTCCCTCTCGTTTTAAATACGCGAGAGAGAAATTGGAGCGAAATTTATCGCCGAAACTTGTCTCCAGCAACTTGTCGGCTGTTATTACATTTCAATCACATCGAGCAATGTGGCCAAATCTTCAGCGATTTACCACCATCCGTCAAATCGATCGTTTTCAAACTTTTCCGTACAATTTCCTACGTTATATGTATACAATGAATTTTTCATTCGTTCATTCACTTCATACCGAGAAATAGCTATGTAGTCTATCTTGTCCACCGCGACTGGTCAATTTGTCCAGTCGAAACATTTATGTTATTATACTCCTCTGATACGACACAATTCGGTTCATGAGAAAGACTATCTGCGTAGAGACGTTATAAAATTACGCACGTGAATGTTTCATTGCAATAGTATAATACGCAGGCTGCAGATTTGGATGGAAACTTGAAGAAAGAGAAAGTAAATCCGCAATACTTTACTCTGTTGTCTATATATACTCTAAAAATGTCAAGGTTTGCGTTCAAAAAATAAAACGAGATTATTAGAAAGGAATAAATAAACTGAAAACAAGATGGAGAAAAATTGGCGACCTATTTGATACATTCGACGAATTAGAGTCCGCAGATATAGAGATAATGAACAAATGACAGAAGAGAAGGAGATTAAGAGAATGATATTTGTCCTCATGGAAGTACATATCCTAAAAATGCGGTTGCTATTGATAAAAAAAAAAGAATTATCCTTCCAATTAATCAAACATGAATTAATTTAAAAGAATAATAGTATAAATTTCGTCATATGTGAAAATAAATTAGTAAAAAAATAAAAAGAAGCTCCATTTATATGAATTAATCGAATTAATCATCCTGAATTTACATCTTTTGTAATATTTGATACTCTTTTAAAAGCAAAATCAATATTCGGACAATGATGTATAAATAAAAAAAATAGACCTGAGATAATCTGAATGATTAAAAAAATTCCTAATATCGATCCAAAATTTCATAAACAATTAATATTTATAGATGTGGGTAAAAAAATAAATGATATAGGAATTTCAGACATTTTATTTATATGGAAAAAATTTTTAAATTTTTTCATTATAATGTTTTATTTCGGAAAGGTTTTTTTTTTTTAGTAAAACAAATTTTTGATGAGACAAATAACATTAAAATTATAAAGAAAATAATTAATAAAAAAATGTAATAATTAGGAAAAACGAATAATCTTATTATAGAGCAATTAAAATTAATTTCAATTGTGTCAAAATTTTTCATAAGTAAGTTAAAATTAAATTTAATATAGATACTGTTGTAATTACGTAAATTAGTAAGTAAATATATCTAAACTTTAACTTATCTATTTTTGCTATATTGACTAGAGAGATAAAATATGAGAAAAGAATCATTATTCCACTTATTATAATAACTAAAATTATATAAATGTATAAAATTAATGATGGTTTAATTAAAAAAATAGTAATTGATATTCAAATTATAAATATAAGTAGTATGTATGCATCGAGTTCCGAAAATGAGAATGATATTTAGATTCAAGCGTAAAAAATGGCACTTTTTCTTGAGGATCGATCACTTTGACATACATAAAGGTTTAGTGTCGATCCATCTTTATTATTATATTTAACCCTTCTGTTTCTCTATACTTGTTTTCTATTTCCTGCACGCAAAATTTCATCGAAATTTCATCTTCTCGGCTGCAAGATCGCGTGCCTTGTCGCAAGATTAGTATCAGACAGAGCTCGAGACAAGCTAACCTAGTTCGATTACATAAACCAGCCAAGATTAGACTCGCACTTTCTTGCGAGTTGTTCATTAATCGTTTGCGTAACGTTTGAGCAACAACGTCGCGCCAATTAAAGGTCCAGCCAGCCCCGAACCGTCCCGTTTCTGCAAAGAAGTCTCGCCGATCGCGTTTTTCCCCCGTGCCTTTCAGTTTTCCCGGCCTCTTATCTTTCGTTTTGCGAAATTAAGACACTCGCGTAATTTAACACGCGCTGCTTACCGTTAGCACCGAGCACGCGTGCTCGCGATACGAAAACTTTCTCTGGAACGCAAACGCGCGTCCTCCGCAACACACGTCCACGTCTCGACACGCAAATCACCGACTGGAAATTTCCCGCTTTCTTACGCAAGCTCCCCACGTTTGTTGCTCTCTTATTATTGAGATCCCCTCCTCTCGCGAAAATTCTGGTTTCGTTTTTCGCAAACAACGGATTTCTGTACGGATGACACGTGCGTGCTCCTATAAATATACACACGAAAATTGTAACACACTGTAAATTCGTCGAAAGTTATCAGTATTATTGTTTATTAGCGGAATTTCGATATTCGATTCGGAAAAATATGTAAGTTTGTAAAGTTGTCAGACGAAATTTTGCCATTCGAAGAATCAATATGTAAATTTATGAAATTACCAGTTCGCTGTTATTATTATTATTATTTTTTCTCTACGAAATTTCGCTATTCGATATTCAATTCGAAAGAGAAAAAAAAAACCGAACGACTGTTGTAAAGTTAATGTGCAATTTTGTAAAATTACCAGTTCGCTGTTATTATTATTCTTCTTCTCTTTACGAAATTTCGCTATTCAATATTCAGTTCGAGAAAAAAAAAAAAGAAAAAAAAAACGAACGACCTTTATAACGTTAATATGTAAATCTGTAAGATTACCAGTTCGCTGTTATTGTTATTTTGCGAAATTTCACTATTTGATATTCAATTCGATAAAAACGAACGATCGCTGTAATGTCTGTAAAATATGTAAATTTGTAGAGTTATCGGTACGCTGTTATTTTGCGAAATTTCACTGTTCAATGTTCAATTGGCCGTTATTATTATTCACGTGGAGATTTCAATGCACGTAGAGAGAGAAAGAGAGAGAGAGAGAGAGTATGCGCGTAACGATCTATAGTAGTGCTTCAGCACAACAAAGTGAGCGGATAGCGCCTCCTGGTAGGCGCTGAAACGATTCAGAGGAGCGATAATAGTAATTGGCGATGTCGAATAAAAAAGCAGGGAGAACGATGAAAGAACAAGAAAAGAGCAGATAAGAAAATTTTTGAAAAATCGTTCGTAACATGTTTCATCTATTTGCGTGGAAAATCGTAGCGATTAAGCACTTTATTTTCCAAATGAACACGCAAAATAATTTTATAATTTTCAACTTCTTTAAGCATTATTATACAATAAGGTCTTTTCTTGCTATGTTGGAGAAATATAGATGTACAAAACAGCACAAACTTGTCACTGCGTTTTTCTATTTGCTCAACTTAAAGAAGGTACATTTTCAGGGGGTGCTGAGTAATTTTTTTTTACTTCCTCTGGTTTATATTAATTTCTAATAATTTAAATTTATTTACTCAAACTCTGCCTTATAATACAGGAAAGTAGAGAAATTCATACGCCCTAGGCAGACTACAAATATAAATAATAATAGCAGTGCAAATCCGAGAAGGAGAGAGTGACAAATTTTGTGACAAATCAAATCGTTGATTCAAACAAGTCGAATCAAATTTGGTAAATCTTCTTCGAGAGATCTGGAACGAGA